TCTCTCTACCCTAAAACACACTCTCTCTTCTCTCTCTCTCTGCCCTAAAACACACTGTTCTCTCTCTCCGTGTTCCTCAATGTAGGACGCATTTGAGAGGGGGTCATAGCAATAAATAAAAAGGAAATATAGAGGAAAGTGGGCAAGCATAAGTGATTTTTCAAAAGATAAAGGGGGTGTGAATAGCATAAAAATTATTCTTTTGATGAAAGGACGCTTAGAGACTTGATTCATTGTATAAGGGGGAAATGCTCCCGTACCACAAATACAATAGGGAATTACTCGGAGGTCCAAATTTTATTTAATCTTTGCCTGGCGGTCCACCGAACAATGCCCTGGTTTTTTCCAACAGTACAATGTTTGAAACATCGATTTGTTTTTAAATTTTATTTTTTAAAAATTTTTGACTTGTAGGGACCGGTCTAAGGTTTGGATGCTTAGACTGCTAGGCTTGCATGAATGTCATAGAAACCTAATGGCCCAAGGTCTAGAACTTCTAACCGGTCTTTGGACTACAAATGTCACAGCCAGGGACTTTGAGGTTCCAAACTTCGAACCACTTGACTTGTATGAAAATTGTACAAGCCAAGCAATCAAAGGTTTCAAACCTTGAACTGGTATGTGGATTGTGAAATTTATAGTCTAGGAACTAATCTGAGGTTCCAAATCTCATACCAATACATGGAATATAAATTTCATAGTGTAGGGACCGATCGAAAGATATAAGCCAAGCAGTCCGAGCGGTAAAATTGGAAAACGAAAAAAAAGAGCATTTAAGGTGGACCTTCACGTAAAATTTGTTAAAATTTGATCCTCCACATAATTCCCTAATTTTTTATGGTAAAGACGTAGTTTTTCCGCGTTTCTTCTAAAATTTTTCCTTGTTTCTTCTTTGCAGTGGATTTATTTGGTAAAGCAAGGAGAGTCCAATACACGAGAATTCAGCTGAATCAGGCCGTAGTGTGCATGTTTATGTCAAACAGAGAACGCAAGTTTAGTCCTTACGTATCATAGCAAACCGAGAGCTTAAAAAAAATATTCATTCGAACTTGGAATCAGTAGGACCGGTTATTATTTTGATTTGAAAAATACTTCTGTGTATTTCAAAATAACAATATGGTTTTGTGATTTTCTTCTTAAGCTGTTTTCGTAGAGAGAGAATATTGTGGGTTTGAGTGCCACATTGAAGAGGGGAGAGTTACTTGAGTTGTATTTAAGAGTATGCATTCCCGTCTGTTATACTTTTAGTACAGAGGAGAGAATGATGGTACACGTGTTGAGTTCTAGAGGACTACAACAAGGTAATACAGCGTCACTTATTTTATATACATTGGTAGCAAAAAATTTCAGTGTAATACTAAGAGGTGTTTTATCAAAAGGCCTTATTTTAGGTTAGGATTTAGGTTAGGAACAATGCGTTGATTGTATCACACTTACCGTATGTAGATGATACTATGATTTTTTGTGATCCAGATGTTATGGAGATCAGTAGATTGTGGATATTCCTAAAGAGTGTTGAACTGGCAACTGGGCCAAAAGTAAACCTCTCTAAAACTAAGTTGATTGGTATCGGATGCCCTCAACTTATAGCGTCAAGAATGGCTGAATTGTTAGGATGTGGTGTTGAGAAGATGCCTTGTAAATATTTGGGTATCCCTTTGGTGGACTCATGGCCATCAAAGTCTATATGGGATGCAGTGGTGGAGAGATTTAACAAAAAATTTGATTTATAGAAGGCTAAAAGTTTGTCCTTAGGAGGAAGAAACACACTTATTAAATCTACTTTATCCAATCTACCGGTCTACTACATGTTATTGTTTAGAATGCCGAAGCAGATTGTAAGGGTTCTTGAGAGACTTATGAGAAATTTATGTTGGGAGATGATGAAAAGAAGAAAGACTTCATTTGGTAAGTTGAGCAAAGGTGTGCGCATCTATGACAGATGGAGGTTTGGGCGTTTGTACTTTGAAAAATATGAATTCTTAAGATTGATTTTAAGAGACCTATCTATCTATGCCACTTCCAGAAAGTCGTGGGCAATGGGGAATCCACATTTTTTTTTGTATGATAAATGGTTTGGCAACTACCCTCTCAAATAACTATTCCTTGATGTGTTTTCTAAAGTCTCAAACCCACTAGCCATGGTGAAGGAGGCTAGTGGGGATGATCATATTTACGTTGTTTGGTCTATTCATCGCACGTACAAGAGAATGACTGATACTTTTATTCAAGAGTATCAAATCTTGTTGGACATGTTAAACAATGTCTATATCTTCCCTAATTTATAGGATGATGTGATATGGGACCTCACTACCTTGGGGGACTTTTTTGTAAAGTCAGCATATGATCTTATTTTTTGTGATCGATATAGACAACTAGACTAAGGACTTTTCCAGATTAAAAAACTACATGTTCCACTTAAAGTTCAGTTGTTTATATAGATCCTATATCCAGATAAGCTAGCCACAGTGGATAATTTAAGGAAGTGAGGATTTAATATAACCAATGTCTGTATTTTGTGCAATGCCAGTGACAAGATGGCCCAACACTTATTCATATCGTGTCCCTTCATTTATGAACTTTGGAGTTGGGTCCAACAATGTTTGAACTTATCCGTACAAATTCCAGGGCATTGCGTATCGTTTCTCGCTCAATGGCTATCACATGGACTTCCGAAGGTAGGTAGTATCCTATGGTGCTCTTTGTGGGTAAGTATTATTTGGGGTGTGTAGAAGGAGAGAAACCGTAGAGTGTTTCAGGGAATTAGTACGTAGTTCTCAATGTTTAAATCTAATATTATGGCTCTAGCAGCTGATTGGTTCTCCGCTCACAAAGAAAGTGGCTCTACCCCAAAGAGCTTTATAATCAACAACCCCTTAGCAGTGGCGAATGTGGGCATCACAAATTGGAGCCGAAGAGCTACTATTTGGCCTTCTCCTACTTTACATTCAATCAAGTTTAACTTTGATGGAAGCAGCTTTGGTAATCCAGGTGCACCAGGCTATGGTGAGTTGATTAGAAACCTCTTGGGCTATATTTTGTATTCTTACTCAAGCCCTTGTGGATTTGCTATTGCGAATAAAATGGAGGCCCGAGCCATTTTGGAGGGGTTAAAACTTCTTTCACATTAGGAAGGCGATAAGATTATTGAAGGAGATTAGGCAAATGTTATAGCTTGGAGCCGAGGAGATTTCAATGTCCCATAATCTTAGAGTGTTGTTGCATAAGATTAGGGGTATTATGTCATCCTTAAATACTAATATACAACATTACTTCCATGAGGCGAATGAGGAAGCAGATGGCTTGGCTAAAGAAGGAGTTTGTTCCCCTTCTTTGGTAACCAATTTCTTCTAATGCTTCTTCTTTGATTTCTTCGTGTATACCTTGTATTTTGTAAGCATCTTTTGATTTAATGGAAAGTTTGTATTAATGTTCAAAAATAAAAAAATAAAAAATAAAAAAAAAAAAAAAAAAAGAAGGGAGAAAGAAAGAAAAGAAGAAGAATGGTGCATGTGTGGAGCACACGAAGCGTGATATGCGCAAACATACGTGCGAAGGCACCTCTGACTTACAAATTGTCGTTCTTATGCACATCAAATTCAATATCGAAGGGGGGCAAATATTGTTTTGGGATAGCGTTTTTGCCCATCAACGAGGGGCAAGTACCGTCTTGAGATAGCGCTACTGCCCGAAAACAAGAAGAAATTACATGTCGAATTCCTGAATTTGTACCATCTTTTACCCCATTTTACCCACCAATTTTCCAACACGAACTAGATCGGTTCCCATTTAGAATCGGAAATGTTGACTTAGACGTACTTGTCCTCTTCTATGAGAGGAATGACGAGTCTAAAAGGGAACTGAGCAATCTTGATCAACAAGTCTAACAAGGAACCGAGCGATATAGATCAGCTAAATCGCCCAATTCTAACCTGTTTCATTTTCTATTATTGTTCTATTTATTTTTTTAATTTTAAAACTATTAATAAAGTTGTTTTAGACCAATTGCCATGCCAGAGAAGGTGATCCATGTAAACGATATTATGTATACTTTCCTTTATAAATGTGAATCTTGTGAGATGGCTCAATGGGTGCAATTAGAAGAATTTTGGATGTACAAATTAGCATGAATTTTCGATCTAAGTAGGCTTGCCAATTCTTGAAAGAAAAAAGGTTAGGAAATTCTAAATCTCTCAAAAAAATAAAATAAAAAAGAAAAAAAATCGCTTAAGATTAAAATGACACCTAAGTCCTTACGGTAAACCAAGCGTGAACCACCCCATTCCAAACTATTGGGGCAATTCCCTTGTACGAGACCGTCTAGAACAGGGGAATCGTTAGTTCCTAACCAATTGAGACAATTCTAAATTAATTCATAATTTTATTATTATCATTATTATTAAATTTAACGATTCTAAATCGACTCGACAGTTTTTTTCATCATTGTTGTTGAGTCCAATAGCACAAGATTTCAGCATAGCAATATCTAACTCTTTGCCACCACCATTGTGGTTCATGTTCAATCACGGCTTACTCTTCCAGTAAATAATAACATAACAAATATAGTTGGCCCATCCAATAATGGGGATAGGGGTCGGATAATGTTGATGATGGTCATACATTTAGCACACCAAAGCTATGATCAATCAAATGGGAGGATATTTTGTATACACACACAACATCAATTTTTTTTCAGTACGATAATCTAATCAAAGATATGACAATTCAAAGTGTTTATCTTCAAACAAGCATACTTCCCACAAGAAATAGCACCCCTTAGATATGTTCAACACTTACGGCAAAACAAAGAATAGTGTTTATGTAGAAAACAGTATACAATGAGACAACTTATTTTTTGTATAAGGTGGTTAGAGTTAATCTTGACCATTGAATGTGAGATTGGGTGGTTGCATTTATTCCATGAACCATGCTCAAAGTTCAAAAAAAAATTTCTTGAACTTAATGACACATCAAAACTATAAAAAATTTCACATCAGATGGTTATAAATAATTATGAATTCTTTGTTCAATAGGTAAGTAGTCTCATTGCATATAATCTCATAATTTGAAAACTATGTATTCTCCAAGGTGGCTCAAGATGGGCTAGCCAAGCATATAGGGGTGGACTCCATGTTCTCTAGGGTCACCCTCAAGGCCTTGCTCTTGCACAGTCTCTTGGCATTGGAGCTCTGGTCCCTTAGCTTTTGCACCCATCTCTTGGCACTTGCCCTGAAGGGGCAATTGGAGGCCAAGAATCCATCCACTAGGTGAAGGTAGGCCTCCAGGTCATGGCATGCCGCCACATCGGCATCCGGCCGGAGGTATGGGGATTGTCGACTGTCCAATCGGAGCTCGCACCCGACATGTGAGTATGTCCACTCCTGCAGTGGCCCGTCGGCAATCGGCAATGCGGCGTGAACACTAGCTCTGAGCCCCTCGTTCATCAGGACCCCGGGCATCTGAGGGACGACATCCCTCGAGTTCACAACGCGCAAAACCTTGATCCCGTTGCCCTCTAGCTTGGCTCCGAAGGCATTGTTACCCACACGGGGCCCTCCGAAAGAGAAAACTGCAATTGGTGGGGCCTCCTGTGGCCCGAGGCGGGCTCCGATCTCATCTGCTGCTAGAAGCGCGAGGGCCCCGCCTAGGCTGTGGCCGGTGATTGTGATGCTTAGCGGGCCTTGGCCCTTGTATTCGCGCACCAGCCTCGACACCTCTGCCACCACCTCCTCAGAGAGGCTAGGGATGTGTTTGCCGTGTGTCTTGTAAAGGCTCCAAAAGCCACACTCCACCTTTGCAGCATTATTGCTGTTGTTGTTATTGTTGTTGTTGTTGTTGCCGTCCTCTCCATCCCCGGTTGGCAAATTTACTAAAATATCCCTGAAATTCTCAGCCCACTCCATGCATGTGGCAGTGCCTCGCAATGCCACAACGATATCTCGGCGGCCGAGCCTTGCAATCTCCCTCTCATCATCACACACAGCAATGTAGCCGATCCAGCTAGACCGCCGGGTCATCCAATCGGGCACCACATTATTGAACCAGTCAGGCACACCTAGTGATGATGTGGCATACAAGCTCTTGGTGACCCTGTATGATCTGTCGGGCACTGCCACATGGCTAGGCGTGGTTGGCTCGCGGCTCGTCATCGAGTCCGAGTAGAAGTGCTCGTATGCGGCCTGCACAAAATCGCCATACCTGACGATTTCTCGGCGTAGATTCTCGTCGAGAGGGTCGAGTAGGCCGGCCCAGTTATTTTTTCCGTGGTATTCAAGCCATTTCTCGCCGAGTTTATTGCGAGGCGAGTTTGCTGGATTCAAGAGCTTGCCCCAGATATGAGCCACCTGACTCTCCGCCTCAGTTTCTTGCCTGAATTCAGTGAAACCAGTCTCATTTTCCGGTGATTTCTCACCCGAACCCCACCTCGGAGACATGATCGAGAGCCTTTCATTGAGGAACCTCTGCACGAGAGATAGTCGCAAAAGTGGGTTCACGTTCGCCTTCCTCGACTCCTTGATTCTGCCTGAATTCTCATAATTTTCGGGACACTTTTCCACAAAACTCTCTCTCTCCAATCCCGCTTGATCCTCTCTCGCTAGAATCCTATCCAAGTTTCTCAAGTGCTCTCGAACGGCATCACGAGGCCTGGTTTCCGGCAAATTCCCAACAAGATTACGGCAGGTAGGTGCATGCTTTGGCAACGACCTCACGGTGTTTCGATGCCTTCGCTGAGGGTTGAGACTGGAAATTTGGCCGGCTCCGACACACCCCGCAGGGAAAAATGACCGTGTCGGAGCCGAAATGGCCGAGCCAATCTGCATCTAACGAAATTTCCCAAATTTAAGCGAAATTTTGAGAGCTCAGAGCTAAGAAATTTAATCTAATGCGTAAGGTGTGAGCAAGTGAGAAATGGTTGCAACACTGGTGTGATTTAATAAGGAAGGCAATGCACGAGCTTGCCCGTAGATTTGGAGCATTTGGCCGTTCAATGGTCTAAAAGCAAGGATCTGGGCCGTTGAATTCCTGATTAGACTGGAGCCTTTGATTGGCCGTGGATTTTCAAGATTGTACGGCCCAAAGAGAAGAGGCTGCCAAACAACGCGGTCAAGATTTTTGTTGAGACTACCCAAAATGCCCATGCCTTCTTGAGCAGTTATCATAGTTATGATGATGGAGTTTAGACTAATATGCCTTAAGAGATAGATCGTCTATCCACTGATTTTGATTCGGATCTAAATCGCTAATTGAACGAATAAAAAAAATAAATAAATAAGATAAAGGTTTTTAGGTTCGAGAAACTTTAAGAAATTATGAACAATAAGATTGAAGAAGAAAAAAAAAAAATATCGTAAAAAAAAATGGGGCTTGAGGGTTGATCAAGCCAGTTCCAATACTTCAATTGAGCCAATCTAAAACATTTCTCTCTTAAGATTACCCAAAGATTCAGTCATGATCTGGATTGATGATTCCAAATTGCCGTTGATTTTGGATTAGCTAGAAATTGAATTGAATGGGGGCCGTTTGGTCATTAGCGAAGTCAAAAGTTCATAGGTGTAAAACCGGTATTTGATAAAAAGGAAGTGTTTGAGCTGACCAGAATGTCCACGCAAGTTGTTGGAGGTTACCCTTTTGAATAGGTTATTAAGAAAGGAACAGGTCTTCTTTGTCATTAAATTAAAGTTAACTTGGGCGACAAGGTTCACATCGTTGATATTGTTTATCTCAAAGCCATAATTCAACCCTTCTACCTCAAAAGTAAAAATTTTCCATATTCTCCATATAATTAACTTAAAATATTCTCGAGTTTCGAAAAACCTTAATGTGTGTACCTATATTGGAGATCGGTAGACGTACAACTGTCTGATCTTAATCAGATGGGTGAGAATGACCTAAAAATATCGTTATAGGATCAAGACTAATGCTCTTAGATTGATTGGTTAAGCATCCTTAGACACATATAAATTATGGGAAAGGTTTTTATGTTTCTCCTATAGCATAGAAGCTCTATCTTCCCCCGACCATTCAGCCGTTCAATTTTGATCAAAAGAGTCACTTATCGTTTGATCTTATATTCGACGTCTCAAAATATTTTATTTTTTGTTTTTTTTATACAAATTGTATAAATATGAAATTTGGTACGTGTCATCTTCTCATTCGGCGCACCTATAAAAAATATTAAAAATAATTTTTTGATAAAATATAATGACCAAAATACATCTTGAATCTTTCAGGGGTATTTTGGTTATTTTATTTTATTGAAATTTTTTTTGATATATTTTTCACGCGTACGAGTTTAATAGAGGAATGGACGTCCAAAATTTGGTGTTAAAATAGTTTATAGAAGAAAAGTCAAAATAAAATAATGTAGAGACATGACATTGTGATTGGGACAATCTTAACCCTCTATTCAGAATGGACGGTTGGATAAGAGGATGATAGAACTTCTATACTATACTATAGAAAAAGCATAAAAAGCTTGCCCATAAATTATATCCATTTAAAGACCGTAAAAGAAGCGCTTACATGTGTTATGTACGTGCATCTATAATGCACAACCTTGGAGATGGGTTCTAATGCTAGTTGAATATTATACACTACATGTATACCGTACACCATATATGTGTGATACTTATCTGCTACTATTGGTTGCTTAATAACTATCTTCAGTTGATCTGGGCCGTCCTGCTACCTGGAAATTTGGGGGACTGACAGAAGTATTTGGCCATAAGGATATGCTTTTTTGTTGTCAAGTTAGGGTTTGAGATATTATATAAAATATTTATGTATTTTTAACTCATTCGGAGATTTTTTTTATAGAGTATATCTTCTCACTAACAGACGTAGTCATATTTGTAACGAACCATATAAATTTAAATAATTCTTGTTAATTTTCTTTCTTATATGTTTGTTTTGTCTTTCAATTTTGTTGCTGAATTTTTCTCAATTTTTTGCCAATATAAAATGATGCAAATATGGCTCCTTACCTCTTGAAAAAATTTGCAAATATTCTCGTTTTAGGAAGTTATAATTATTGTCATTGTCAGAGCCTTTTCTCAACTAATTTAAAATTTCTAATGAAAACTAAATACAAAAAACTATATTTCACATATTTCTTATCCTTAGAAAATGATTGAACATCTTGGGGAGGCATACAAAGTCATAAGTGATATTAAGTTTTCAGTTTCTTGTTGAGATGTACCAATCCTTATTTAATTACATTCATAGAGTAATTCAAATGAACAATGCATCTAAGCAGCCCATCACTCATGACGACAGTTGGAACAATTATTTTTAAGGTTTTGTGTTGTGATATTGTATTCAGGTTTAAAACAGTAATCTAGCAACTTATCAACTGTTATTTTGTCACATGTGTTGCTCTCTTCAAAAAGTCCAGCTCCAAGTGGAGTGTGGCCTCAACCACTCATCGTTGCCATCAGACGGTTGAAGAATTGCCAGCAAACTGTTTTAATCCAAATGCTATCATAGCTGATTTTGGCATGTTGGCATCCTACGTGCACCACGATGTACTCCCAAAAGGCAATATGTTCTTCTTTTTTTTGGGGTAGAAAGGGCTTATTTTTCGCTATAAAAAGATAAGTATTTTAAAAAAAAAAAAGACTCCGGCACCCGTTTGGCCGAAAGATGATTACTTTCTAGTCAGGCTCGACTTATATATATATAAAAAAAAAAAAGCCTCAAACATAGCAAATAACCTTAAAAACTAAAAGGTTGTGGTTTGTATAAAGTTACAACCTTAAACAATCAAATTAAGGTGCACCTCCACATTTGATCATAAATAAAACTTTGGTATAAAAAATTATTATGATGGCTTGAGAATCTATTTTCGTCGCTAATTATAAAATGTTAAACTCCAAAAATGGTTCAAATCAAGTAGATCTATATACACTTGAAAATCTTAAAAATTGATGGTCCACATAATATGATACAAGATATACTATTTTTAGTACTCGAACTCTTTTTTTCTTTTTATATTCATACATCTTGATGTCAAGAGCAATTAGAAGATTTTTCATCATCAAAACAACCTTTTATGATGGATTTTTGAGGTGCTCCTTAACATTTTAAAGTTGCAACCTTATATAAACTTTTTCCAAAACTAAAAGTCAAGTTGCACATTTTAGATTAAAAAAAAAAAAATAACGTCCCATGATAGAATAAGAACCGTATAATTTTTGAAGAGCAAGATGTAAATATTAAATAACTCAAAATCCAATTTTCCTTTTTCGGATTATTAGATGGATGCTAAAATCTAACATAGAAAGATTATCCGGAACAGCTCTTTTGCCCGAGGAAGTAAACGTACAATATACTCCTGCAGAAGCTAAGTGTGCCCCTGTTGATCCTAGAGAAAATCAAAGAAAAAGCAAAGAAAGAGAACGTGTTTTTTTTATATGTTTCAGTAGGTAGAGACATTTTAGATAGGGTCAAAAAGTTAGTGGGGCTTACGCACTGGCCTAAGTGCGTTTGTACCAGAGTGTGTTTGGGAGACCGTGTGTCTTGCGTGTCGGTGTAACCGTGTGTCTCGCGGTCTGTGTACCAAATATACAATCTACCGAGAAGAATAGTATTTGGGTTTAAAATTTGGACTCTTACTTCCGCCTCGAATAGCATTTGAGTTTAAAATTTGGACTCTTGTTTCCACCTAAGGTCGGTATACCAGTTGGGTCCTTGGGTGTCAGTTAGGTCCTCGAGTGTTAGTCAGGTCCATTGACACCCTTTGGTTTATGTAAGGCTGAGGCACATGCAATTGATGTTGTTGTGCCAGGATTTGAACCCTGAGGTCCGGTATACCAGTTGGGTCCAGGGGTCTCTAGCCGGGTCCATTGACACCCTTAGGTTTGTATAAGGTTGAGACGTGCAACCTTTAGGTTTGTCTAGCCGGGTCCATTGACACCCTTAGGTTTGCATAAGGTTGAGGCGCACCTTTAGGTTTGTGTAAGGCTGAGACGCATGCGATTGATGTTGTTGTGCCAGGATCTGATCCCTGAGGTTGATGTTATTGTGCCTGGATTTAAACCCTGAGGTCCGTATACACAGTTGGGTCCTGGGGTCTTTTAGTCGAGTCCATTGACACCCTTAGGTTTGTATAAGGTTGAGGCACATGCGATTGATGTTTGGTTCGGCCAGGATTTAAACCCTGTGAAATCCTAGACGTAAACACTAACCAAAGAGTCTTAACAACGTATGTTGGCTAAAGTGTGACCTATAAATATTAATATAGTTTATAAAATTGGTGTACAACCAACTCGTCGTAAATGCGCATTTCCAAAAGAGCAAGGCCGAATTGCTAAGCCGAGTCAAAGTTGTCTCGGCCGAGTTTCAAAACCATGGATCAAAGTAAGGTGCACCTTCAAATAGTGCTAAAGGATGCCATTACAATATTGAAATCTTTGTGATGGCATGGGAATGTATTTTAATATCTACTTGTAAAATTTAAAGCTTAAAAAATAGTGTAAATCAAGCAGATCCATAAGCATTCGAAAATCTTGAAATTTGACAATCTAAATAATGCACTACATGATGCACTCTTTCTAAAACTTGAAGTTCTCTTTATTTTTTTAAGTCCTTTTATCTCAAGGTCAAGATGATCTGATTTCAGGGTTTTTTGGCATCGAAACAACTTTTCTAGTTAATTTCTTAGGTACATCTTAGTTTGATTGTTTTGGGCCTCAAGCTTATATAAACATATTCCATATTTATATAAGGTATCAAATTTATATACCGCATAAGAAAGGCATACATATGCAAAAAAAAAAAAAGTTGTTTCAATGCTAAAAATAGTGCATCATGTAGTTTTATCAAGGCCGTTTTTATGTATTTATAAACCTGCTCAAATTACACTGTTTTTGAAATTTTAAATTTCATAATTAATGAGAAAATAAATTTCAAAGTGATTATGAAGGTGCACCTTAATTTAATTATTTAAGGTGTACGCCTTATATAAACCACACGTATCAGTGTATTTTAACAGACCCAACTTCATGACCCCCCTTAGGTAAAAATTGACATGATTTCTATTCTTGAATGTCATTTTTATTTTTTCAAGATTTTGGAAAAATTTAGAATTTGATCATAAGCATCAAATAAATCTAAGAATAATTTATGGAAACAAAATCTGTTTCGTATTTTTATTTTCTAACTTTTAGATATTTATTGTAGTTATAGACTTTGCCCTTTTAAAACTATGTGAGATTTTCATGAGAAAAAAAAAGTGGTTTAGGATCGAATAATTTCTTTGCTGAGCAATATTCAAACGAGATTTCTACAAAACTTAGGCTAATTGTCAACCATAAGCAAAAAAGAAAAGAAAACCATTGTTCTACAACAATTAAAAGTTTTCTATTGCTACAATAAAAGTTATTTTTTTATCATGAATAATAAACATGATAAGTCGTGGGAGGCAAGGCACACAGGGGATAGG